GTCTTCGAGCGCGTTTCCAAGTTCAAGTTTGAGCGCAAGACGGTCCTGACTGTGCCCATCACCATCTACTCAGAGCCTCAATATCAGATCACTAATATGGCCATCGATCATAAGCAGGAAACGGTCATTGTGACCTGCTCTCACGCCCAGATCTATGTGGGAATTCTCATCGTTCCGGAGACTCTCAAGACGAAGCAACTCAAATTCGAGCCACTCGGCGTGCTCATACACATTGGCGAAGTGGTCGATGTGTCGGTGTGCGCCTGGAAGCCCATCATAATGACGGCCTGTAAGTAGTCCTTAAATCTCACTAAAATATTATCATATATATTTTTCTAGCGAGGGATCAAACGATACGCATTTGGAACTATGAGACTGGCAAGGTGGAGCTGGTGCGCAAATTCCAGGTGGATGTGAATATTGTGGAACTGAACTCTACGGGCCTAATGGCAGCCATTGGTTTCTCAGATCAGCTGCGTATCACACAGATCTTTATGGATGAGCTGAATGTAAGTATTAATATAGGGCTGGATTTTAATATATATGTATCTAAATGTTCCCATTATTAGCATTAAGCGTTCGTCTTAAAAACTCTCCTCTTTTTGCTATTTCTCAATAAATAAACTCCATAAACTCCTTCCACTCTGCGGTTGAGTAACTCCCCATATTGAGCTACATTGACAATCGTCAATCGCCATTTTTAAAATGCGCTCTGAGTTTAATCAGCTGTTCTCTATTTTGAGTGACTCTCCGCTACTGTCTGCCATTTTGAACAAAATGTCTGTTCGTCTGCTCTCCACATATAAAGTGAGCGTCGTAAGTTCCTCTCCACATGTGAAGTGAGCGGCATAAGCTGGTTGCCATTTTGAGTAAGGCTCTTTGACTGCTTCTGTATTTTGAGTGAGCTTTGCTTTGTGTGGGGAGAGCTATAAAGACTGCACTTACTGCAGATCGTTTTCAGTGGCATTTCAGAGCTCGAGCAGGGCAGTGGCTGTGGGATGCAGTGCAGCTGGCAAATTTATATATATTATTTTGTTAAAGTATTTAAATGTTTTTTAAGTGCAATTTGTTAATGAATTTGTAATTAATTATTATTTTTGTTTCCCTAATTTTAAACTCATGCCAATGTAATTTAAAATAATCCTCAGTAAATTAATGATTCTATTCTTCATGAACATTAATAATATTCTCGATTATAACTGACTTTCCCTCTCTCAACTTTTTTCTCGCTGGCTCTCCCTCTCTCGTTTAGATCGTCAAAACATACAACTTTCCGCACTGCAACGATGTGAAATACTCGAATTTTGGACACTTGATGGCTGCTGCTTATGATAATAATATTAGTGTGACATCGGTATATAGCCTCGATGTGGTCATCCACTTGAAGGGACACAATGGCAATGTTTTATCTGTGGCCTGGACGAAGACGGATAAGTACTTGATTTCTGGTGGAGCCGAGGGCGCCATTTACCAGTGGGACATTGAGACGGGCGCCCGACTGCAGGAGATCGTGCAGAAGGGCACGGAATACGTGACGATCTGCGTCAGCTTTAACGACCCAATGGTCATCTTTGCGGGCACAAATCATGGCACCATACGCGAGTTCCAGGACGCCACACTGCAACGCGAAATAACTGTGCCATCCCGCAATAAGGGATCCGTTTCCGATATGTGCTTGGCACGCTCCGATCTGATCATGTTTATAGCGGATCATGAGGGCGGCTTATTCAATATGCAGCTGCCGTTCCTTGAGGCGGGCGGCGGCACCTTCACCAACTTCCGCTTCTTCGATGGCCCCATTAATAAGTTGAGGTTCACCTATGACGGATCGATGCTGGTGGTCATATCGAAGCGTGGTACCGTGGCCATTTGGAGCTTGGAGAACATTGAGGACAGGGTGGCGCCCATCGATCAGGATTTGCTGAAGAGCCAAGAGGTGTTGATACCACGCACCCAGCTCAGCGACAAAGTGGAGCAAATCACGAATCTGGAGCTGCGTCTCAAGCAACAGGCGGAGGAGTTCCAATATCAGCTAAGTCAGAATGAGATCTTTGATGGACAACAGCTGCAGGAGGTGCATCGCAGCTATTGCAGCGCTCTCGAGGAACTCAAGGAGCTGAACAATGAGATTGTATCAAAGCATACGGAGGAAATGAATCTGATAACATTCCAGATTAACGATATGAAGCAGGATCATCGCTCCCAGATGGATGTATTGGCTAGCCAGTATTCGGAGCGCATGCTCATCGAATACCAGAAGTTCACCAATCTGCGAGAGAATATGCTGGAGCTGCGCGAGAGTTACGAGGACAAGCTGAAGAACTCGACGGGCACGCTGCAGGATACGATCGAGGCGCTCGAGAACGATTACAAGAAGCAGCTGGACGAGCGCAAGGATCTCATCCGCGAGCTGATGAAGGAGATGCAAGACAAGAAGGATGAGTTCATCAAGTACTGCCAAGAGGTGGAGGCCGAGAACGATCGCAACATGGTCGCCACCCAAACGGAATACGAGAATAAGCTGACCACTGAGCGGAACGAGACGCAGATGTGGCGCGGCAAGGCGGGTGTGCTCCAAAAGAAATATGAAGCGCAGTGCCATGAGATTGAGACGCTGCTGGAGGAGGTGGAGACATTGAAGGAGGAGCATATCAAGTCACAAGTGAAGATGCAAAAGCAACTGCGCAATATCGAGGATCTGCAAAAGGATATATCGGATCGTGATTATGCCATTGGCGCCAAGGAGAAGCGCATCCAGGAGCTGCTGCATAAGAACCAAGAGCTGGACAAATACAAGCAGGTGCTCAATCACAAGATCGCCGAGCTCAAGGCACAGATCGAGCCGCGCGAATTCCAAATCAACGACAAGCGCAAGCACATCATCGAAATGGAGCACGAACTGGAGGGCCTCAACCAGAACAACATTCAGCTGGAGCTGCAGCTCAAGGAGATGCGCGACAAGTATCTGAGCAACGTTGCCGAGCTGCGCACGGAGAGGCATCGTGCCAAGTCCGCCAGGGAATGCCTCAACTCCATCTGTACGGACATCTTCTATGTGGCCGGCGAGGTGAGCACGGCGGAGGGATTGAAGAAGGCCGTCAAGGAGCTGTTCCACAAACATGCCAGCGATGATGAACTGAAGCGTTTCGTTACGCTCGACGCCGAGGTTAAGGACGAGTTCCTCCGACAGCGCAAGCAAATTGAATCCGTTCTGGCGCGCTACAAATCTGTCGCCGAGGACAAGAGCGTGCAGAGGAAGTACGACAAACTGTTCAACGAGAACTGTCTGCTGCTCGAGGAGATTGAGAGTCTGCGCCTTGAGAACAAGAGTTTGCGCTCAAGGCTTAGGGAAGACGTGCGTCGCACCACAAAGCTCAACCCTGGAGCGTTGGAGGGTGCCCTGTAAATGATCTTATTTACATGTATGTATATATATGTGTGTATAAATGTATGTGTGTACTTACATACATATGTACGTTCAAAAGTTATATATGCTCTATAAATAGGGCTTAAGCTCAGATGAATAAAGAACATGGCTCGCAGGCCTCCTTCATTAAATCTTTTGCGATTTGTGTGACTTCGACAGCTTCTCCATCAATCCCCCAGCATTATATAAAACATCTCCTGCTCCACTTTCCTTCACTTCATCAGCTGATTCATAGCTCTCTGCCCTCTCTTCTCGCTTCTCCTATTGCCATGGACAAGAATACATAGACCAGTCTGTTAGTGTTTACAAATTGCTTGGAATATTCTTATATCAAAATATATATCTTTCACATAGGACTCGCGACACACACAGTTTATATGTACAAATACATATACAAAAAAAGTTTAAGCTTAGTTAAATAAAGAAAATGGCATTTAGCTTCTAGGCCTCCACTAGTATCTTCTTTGCTTTCGTTTTGCTCGCTTTGGTTGCAGCTTTCTCTGGCTCTTGCTCCTGGTCATCCTCCACCTCCTCCTCGGTTGCCTTGACTGGCAACTCATCACTGGGCACTTCGGGCAATCGAACGTTTTGCTCCTCAGCCTCCAGGGCATCGAGTTCGGCGAGCACATCTTCCTCATCTTGCGTGGTCAGCACATCCGTTAAGATAGCATCTATTTCCTGTTGCTTTTCGATGCCTTCCCGTGTTTCGTCCATTATACGTTCCACCTCGTCTATGCTCAGCATATCATGCACCTTTTTCAGAGCAGCATTTCCCTGCTTCAAACCATCCAACACCTTCATTTCCACCTGTGCGAATTCCAGATCGGAGGCTAACTTCTCCAAGTTTTCGAGCTGTTTGTCTGCATTCGTGAGCAAACTTTCCTGGTACTTCTTTTTGCGCAGCAGCAGTTTTGCGCGACTATTGTGTAATACAATGATTGTTGATTAAAATAATGCTTGTGTGTACATTTTAAGCTACTTACTCTTTCCTGCCCTGCTGCAGACACTTCTTGGCGAGCAATCTATCATTTTCCAACTGTAGCTCAATGCGTTTTTGGTACTGCTTCAGACGATCCCGTTGCTGCTTCAATTGCTACAGTTCATCAAGAGATTAATACATGTTACTATTAACAGACATCTGTAAGAGATGTTGTATTTACCAGGACGGCCTTGTCATGCTCTGTAATGCGACTTGGAGCTGTCTTTTTACTAGATTTCCCAAACAATGCACCCATGATTAACTCACAATAGCCAACCACTAACTATCGATATTCACTTATTTACATAGTCGATATATTTATTTACATTGTTTACCTATTGCACGACTAAGCTACAGTATTTTTAATGTCGATAGTATTAAAACTGAAAATTATCGAGATAGTTGACTTTCAAATAGTATTTTTTATAATTTAATAACTGTTTAATAATTATAATTAGCTAAGAGATAATGTTGTGACCAGATACTTTAGTATTAAGGTAATAATATTATTATCGACCAAAATTATGTAAATTTTTTAAATAAAGAATATATTTACTTTAAAATAAGACCATTAAAAGAGAATATCTATGTAATTTACAATTTGGCTATCAACTCTTCATAGCATTGCGGCTTATATCTTTTATACATACTACGCCAAAAATCCATACGTTCCCCATCTGGATTCAGCCGCATTTTACACTCTCGATCTAGTTGCATATAATCCAATTGATAAGCATCGAGAATTCCTGTCGCATTTCTATTTTGCTTCTGAACTGGTGTCCAATTATCCGCTGGCTTGCCATATTTCGCAAAGTTAGCCCACATCCCGGCCATACTTTTCGAAATCTGAGCATCATCTGCAGTTAAGGGAGACTTATCATTATACCATTGGAATAGGTAGGACAGTTCATCGGCGTGCGAGGCTCCACGCAGTTTGTCCGCATTAAATGCCTTTTTGTATATATTCCGTCCGCCTACATAGTCGAAGCGATAGAAGTAGAAGGGCGCCTTCTGGTAATTTGCGTAAATCTCTGCTGTGTGCTGAAGATCGAGAATGAAGTGCACATCGCCGAGCAAGTCCACTAGATTATCGAGGCACTCCATCGTGAGCGACTTTCCATTAAAATAAAATTGTCGTATGTCTTCCGCTGCTTCGAACGCCTCGGGCGCCCCTGGATCCTCAACCAGGTTACGTGGGACTAAGCGTGCCATATCCTTATCAAAGATTTCCACATTTTTCTTGGGATTTCTAATCAGAACTATGCCCTCTGCCGAATTGTAACCTAATAGCACGGGCATATTAGGCAATCTCTTCCTGTCATGCAACAGATCAAGGAAGGGCTTGTTTAGCATGCTATCTGGACACCTTGGATCCTCCACAACTGGCTTGAAGGAAAAGGGCAGATGACGACGACGCTCATCAGCAGTCAGCACATCCAAAGTTTTGCTTAGCATCGCCAATGGAGTCGCCGTTTCCGATTGCAAAAATTCAAGCAATTTGCTATCGTTCTCTATTTTCTTTCCATACAGCAGTTCACCCAAACATCGTGCTTTAAAGGATCCATTTTCCTGTAGTACCCACTCCGAATTACCTGTGCCACTCTGCATGATGGCCTTGTGGAACAGTTTGCTGGCATGCGCTCCATACATATGCATATGAACAGAAGATGCTCCAGCGCTCTCCCCGAAGAGGGTAACATTCTGAGGATCACCATTGAAGTTGGCAATGTTATCGTGCACCCACTGCAGGGCCAAACGTTGATCCTTCAGACCCGCATTGCCATAGATGCCTGCTTCTGGTAGGCTGAGAAATCCCAAGGCTCCGAGACGATAGTTTAGGGTAACCACAATGACCTCCTCTTGTAACTGTAAATAGGAAAAGATCAAGGTAAGATTAGATACATATCTATAAATTTAGTCCAAGCGCGTTCACTCACTAATCTCGGTTACCACTACCAAACCAGAAGCCTCCACCATGAATCCAGACCATGACGGGCAGAGGTTTCTTCGACTTGCTCTTGGGCACATAGACATTGAGGAATAGACAGTTTTCGGAACCAATCACTTGCTGCTTGAGCGGATCGCGCTGATGCGAGACGTCGCCTTCTTTACTGCAGTCCAACTCGTTTTCCTTGAATCGTTCCAACGGCACAGGGCTCTAGTATACATACGTGAAATGGCAGGATCAATATTTTTGCTTCGATGCACCCACCCGAAAACGCAGCTCTCCCACGGGTGGTTCTGCATAGGGAACGCCCAAGAAATTGCTGTACACTACGCCATTAGGCAGCTTTTCTTGTGTGCCAACAACAATGCCTTGCCTTACAGGCACCTTCACCTGTAAATTAATAATTAAATAACAACTTTCAAACTATTCAAAGGGTGCTCTTATTTCGTACCTTTGCAGTGCTGTAGAAACGAAGGTTATTGGTTGTATAATAACCACATCGCATGGCAAATAAACTGCGCATTTTTACTTGCATATACATGTGTATATATTCACAAGTATAAGTATATATCTAGGAACTGCGGCAGTTGACAATTTCAATTTGATTTTGAATTTCTTTATGACTGATCTATGCACTCAAAGATAAACAGCTGATGGATCTTCATATTATCGATATATACAAGCACTATTATTTATCGGAGTTGTTAAATACTATATGCTTTAAAAAAATACTATACACATATCGATACACAATTATAGAATTTAAAATAGCAATATCAGAGGTATATACTATATAGTTCTGGTTAATATCCGTTACAATTTAGCCCTTAATTCTGCATAGCATTTCGATCTGTATCTTTTGTACATGCTGCGCCAAAAATCGATACGCTCCGCATCTGGATTTCGTTGCATTTTGATTTCCCGATCTATTTGCAGATAGTCCAATTGGAAGGGTTCCAGCTCTCCATTGGCGCTCCTCTTTTGCTTTTGCACTGGTGTCCAGCTATCTAACGGCTTGCCATGCTTGGCAAAATTCGCCCACATATGACACAAACGCTGCGACATATCCGCATCCGCCGGCTCCAGCTTAGTATCATCCTCCGCCATTTGAAATAGATAAAACAGCTCATCGCCGTGCGAAGCTCCACGCAAATCATTCGCTTGGAACAGGTTTTTGTATAAATTCCGTCCGCCCACATAGTCGAAGCGGTAGAAATAGAGCGGGGAACTCCTCTGGCAGTTGGCATGAATCTCAGCAGCGTGTTGAGCATCAATGTTGAAGTAAAAATCCGTGAAGATATCGACCAAGTTCTCGACCGTCACATCCTGCCCATTGAAGTAGAATTGACGCATATCTTCGGCTGCCTGTAGTGCCTCAGGTGCCTCTGATTTTGCAACCAGATTGCGAGGTACCATGCGCGCCAAATCCTCGTTGTAAAGTTCCAGCTTACGCTTGGCAGGCACAATCATGGCTATGCCCTCTCCCGAATTATAGCCCATTAGAAGAGGCATACCACCCAAGCGCTCCTTCTTATGCATTAAGTCCAGAATCGGCGTAGTTATGAAGCTATCCGGACTGCTTGGATCTTCGATGACGGGCTTAAAAGCCAGCGGCAGCTGCCGACGACGTTCCTCTGGAGTCAACACATCCAAAGTTTTCGCCAGCATCGCCAACGGCGTTGCCGCCTCTGATTGCAGAAATTCCAGCAATTTGCTATCGTTCTCAATATTCTTGCCCTGCAACAGTTCCCCAAGACGACGCGCCTTGAATGAAGCATTTTCCTGGAACACCCATTCCATGTTAGCTGTGCCACTCTGCATGATGGCCTTGTGGAACAGCTTGTTGGCATGCGCCGCATACGTATGCAGATGCACCGAGGCACCACCCGCACTCTCGCCAAAGAGGGTAACATTTTGTGGATCACCATTGAAGTTGGCAATGTTATCGTGCACCCACTGGAGAGCCAAGCGTTGATCCTTCAGGCCCGCATTGCCATAGATGCCTGCTTCTGGTAGGCTGAGAAATCCCAAAGCGCCAAGGCGATAATTGAGGGTAACCACAATGACCTCCTCTTGCATGAGCTGCGCAGGAAAGTGACTGTAATTAGGGATAGCTACTTTAAATCTTTACATTTTATCTTCGAGATTTCACTCACTAATCCCTATTGCCATTGCCAAACCAAAAGCCTCCACCATGAATCCAGACCATGACGGGCAGCGGTTTTTCTGACTTGCTCTTGGGCACATAGATATTGAGGAACAGACAGTTCTCAGAGCCAACTACTTCGAGGGTAAATGGATCCCGCTGATGCGAGACATTGCCTTCTTTGCTGCAGTCCAGCTCTGGCTGTGAAAAACGCTCCAATGGCAGCGGACTCTAAGTGGGTCAAGGTGTTACTCAATGTCAACGATTTGCTCAACTGCCACACTCACCCGGAAACGCAACTCACCCACAGGTGGTTGGGCGTAGGGCACACCGAGATAGCTCTCATATTGCAAACCACTGGGCAGCTGCTGTCGTTGTCCAACTAGGACGCCCTGCTTTACAGACACTTTCACCTGGCCATGGCACACATAAATCAATTCGAATTACTTTTGTCAGAGAATTTTTGATTGCTTTTCCACTTACCTTCATACTATTGCTGTATAATCTTAAGTACCTGGCAGTGGAATGTCCACGTCGGACTGTAATAAGTCCCCACATCACAATTAGTGCAAATCACTTAAAAGAGAAATGTTTAATCGCTATATTACCGGTCCAAAATACAAATGTTGCTTCGCAGTGGACTTTAGCCAGACAAACATAATCAGCTGTTGATGCTTTAACCCGTCAATAAACGCAAGGGGCTGATTTTGCCCGCTCGAACATAGAAATTTAGAGGAGATAAGCTAGACAACCAAATTATTTCTAATCAAATTGTTATCGTTAAAGTGAATGTATGTTTTAATTAATCACATTAAACAATGTTAATTTAGCATTTTATTTTTAAAATTTTGTTTTTAATGTTGTTTTAATGCAAATGTCAGCAAAAGTTGTTTTGAATCAAAACTTTTGATATATACTTCAAATTAGCGAATCATAGATTTGAGATTTTGAATGCATTATAGGCTCAATAGAAAATCATATTTACGAAAATTATTTGTCTATTAAAATGCAAGAAGAAAAATAACAGATCTTAGCATTGGAGAAAAAATTGACATATATGAATATATGTCTATATTAACTCACTTCAACCCATTAAACCAACCCATAAAAACGCAATATTTTTACACATTTATAATTACATTTAAAATGTTTCTAAGTTTTATTTGACTAGTTCCATTGCATAAACATTAATACAAGTTTTCAAGTTTCAATTATTTTTGTTTTGCTTTTTGTTGTTTTATCTTTATATAATTTTGTTTTGTTTTTGTCATGAAAGAACTCTAGCTGTAACTATGGATTCGGCCCTTATAATAGCAAATAGCAACAACAACTGTCGAGCTGACAGTTGGGAAAATGCCGTGAAAATTGGTGTTTTAGTCAGTTAGAAACGAAGCGCGAAGCTTCGAGACAACTTGATAAAGGGGTTTGAGCTTTTCACGGTAAACCCCAACAAAAGATTGTCAACTCACAGTTGTTGTTGCTGCTGTCTGTTGGTTGTTGTCTGTGTGTTTCTTGTTTGTTAGGGTAAGGTAATTAATAAGTTGAATTAAATGTAGTTTGTTGTTGTTGTTGTTTTAAGCTTAGGGTTTGTTTTGCTTTTCTTTTGTTTTGTTTGTTGCTCACACCGAAAAAAATGGAAAAACATTTACACTTATGTACATACATTATACATGCACACCACATACATTCAAAAAACACTTAATAAACATTTATAATAATCATCATCATAATAATCATAATAATAATAATAATAATAATAATTCGTAATCATAATAATGTGTAGTAATAGATAATAAGTTCACATAGCACACGCATCGTGTGTCTGCTATATATAACTATATTCCGATTTTCATTATCTTGTTTTATGTATATAAGTATATAATGTTCGAGACTCTTTTAGCCATGGTTATTCGCATTTGTTGTTGTTGGGTTTCTTCTTTTGTGTTTTTTTTTTCTAATTTTTTTACGTTTTTTTTTGTTTGCTTTTTTAAATAAGGTTCACAAAAAGGTTTCTTTTACAAATAGTAAATTGGTGTTTTGTTCTTCTTCAACTTCATCATCATCATCTACAACTATATCTTAATCATCATCATCATCATCATCGTCGTCGTCGTCGTCGTCGTCATTATGTTGTTCAACATTGTCATCAATTATGTGTATTCAATTTGTAACTAATCTAAAAACGTCGCAGCGCCAAAGTGCGCTTCAAATAGAGACAAATGGCTCGATGTATTAGCTCGTACTGTTCAGAGTTTTGAACCATGCCGCCGCGTTGCAGACGGAGATTGCAAACAATGCCCAAGATATCCACAAAGATGTCCGGCATCTTGGGCAGCTGGTCGAAGCTAACGGCATCCGGCTGCTCAACAATGTGCTGTATGTGCAATAGAGTATTGCAGCTAAAGCTGGACTCGGTATCCTCGTCGCTGCCATATTGTGTGCACTGCATATCCTTGATGGTCAGCGTTTTGGTCAGCATACCAGTCAGGGAGTAGGCCAACGATTGTCGTAGCTGACGCACTGCATTCAGTATGGCTGTGAAGCAACCGGTGCGTCCAATGCCCGCCGAGCAGTGTATCACGGGCAACGGCTGCACCGCATTGAAGATGTCCTGCTTGTAGATCTCCAAACGTTGGGCGCTCAAATGCGCATTCCGTGTGCTCCGTTTGTCATCGTAATTGTCGAACTCCGACTCGCACTTGCCAAGATTCAGCACATGCAAACAGGTGTCCAGCAAGGTGTTGATATCCCGCGGCGAATGGTGATCGGGCCAGTCGGGATACCAATAATGATAGCAGCAAATCTTTTGCAAATGATAGTCCAGCAGGCCCACACTGTCCGGCACATTGATGCAGTAGAGCAGAATGAGCTTGCGCACAGAATAGCCATTGCGTCGCACAATGCCCACGTTTTTGGCCAAAAAGAAACTTCCAGTGGCGGGCAGTGAGCGACGCAGCGACTCGCTCAGCGTCACCTTCTGCGAATCGATGGCTATGTGCCAGCGATTGTTGAGCTGCTCCCGTTCCGGCTGCAGTTCACTGCCGAGATTAGTTCCAGACTCGTCGCTCTCCTGCATCGACATCAGATGCGGCTCAAAATAGGCGCGTGCCTGCGCGCTCAACTCAAAGACCTCGCCCTTGGCGGCCACTGCAAAGATCTCGTTCAGCTCGATGGGAAAATAGACGGCACACTTCTGTCGATTGCACTCCGTGAAATTTGTCAGCATTACGATCTTTTGATAATACTGCTGCAAGATGTGAGTTCGATCTACGTGCGGACTGCTGCCTCCATCCATGCAACGTCGTATATAACGCTGTGTATTCTGATAGATCATCAGCCAAAACTCGAAAATGGTGTTCGGCAGAGGTCCCTGCGTGGCCACGTAGCACTTGGACACATAGTCCGGGCCCTGAAAACGAATTCAAGTTTATTAGATGTATATGTGAGTTCATAATTGGAATAATTACCTTGATGTAATTGGCATTGATGTAGGGCAACTCCTCGTTGGCCAGCAGCGTCGTTTTGCTCATCAGCTCCTCGCTTGCAGTTTGGGGCTGCAACAGGGAGCAGCTCTGCAAATTTAGTAGCTCCGTCGCCTCACTCTCGAGTATAACGCGCGAATGCTCGTTGGGCAGAATCGTTTTGTATCGATTCTTTGTCTGCGAACCTAATACCATGGGCTTCTCCTGATGATTCAACGGCAAGTCCCAAAATTCCTTATGCAAATCACGAAATATACGCTTCTGTTCATCATCGTCCAGATGTGGCAAAGGTGTTACGATTCGCTTGACCACCGTCTGGTACAAGTTCAGCAGTTCGCTGTCTTCGGATGTGGGCGGCACTTGATTTGTGGGCGTGCCGCCTTCACGTCCCAACACCAACACCGGCGGCTGCTCCAAGTTCGCTTTGTAGCTGTGATCGAACACGTGATTCAGCTTGATCAAATCGTACTGATTCAGCGGATTCGAGGCACTCTGCAGCATCTGTATGCTGGCCAAATAGATTTTGAACTCTTCGCTCGTCGTCTGCGGTGAGAGCGGACGTGTCATGATATTCCGAATGCCGCCGCCGCCGCCACCACCAGCTGCACAGGTRCAGAGCACAACGCCCGTCTCGTCAGTTCCTATGGGAGATTTGTTCTTCGACTGCTCGCTGGGCTGCAGATCGGAGGCCGAGCCAAAGCACAGCGGCTGCTTGAAGTCCAAATACTGTGAGCTATTGCCGGATCGATTGCTATTCAAGTTCTCGGTGCTGAAGAACTTGCGCTGATGTGTCGCCTGAGCGGCATTCGCTGCACCACAGCTGCAAACAGTTAACTTGGGCTGCGTTGGATCCAGAACTCCTCCTCCACCGCCTGCTGTACTCAACTGGCCGCCCATATTGAGCGTTAGACTTTGATTGCTGCCCCTTCGCTCGAGCAGCCCGCGCTTAGGCGTCGTCTGACTGGCCATCGAGTTGAGCTCCCCGCACGAGTTGGTCGTGTGACTCTGCAAGGTGATGCTGTGATTGGATCCACGCCGCCGAAACAGACCCTGACGCACACCCTGGCCGCTGCCCGCAGCGACAGTTAATTGATTAAGCGGCTGTGGCTGCTGTTGATTGTGCGATTGTTGCTGCTCCAGATTGCAGCTGGACTTCGAGTTGCTGACAGAGCCCAAGCTATAATTCGAAACACTCAAGCCGCTGTTCATTAGATTGCCACAAGAGCTGTGCAGATTCAAGGTGAGACTGTGATTCGAGCCGCGACGCTGCAGCAGATTCATCGAGCCATGACCGACGCTCTTGCCGGGCAAATCCATCGACTTTTGCTTAAAGGGTGACTCCACAGCTGCTGTGCATGGCGTAAACTCCACCAGGGTCAAGCACTCGGGCAACGTCTTCAAATTGGTACTCGATGAGTGCAGCATGGGATTTAATTTGTGTGCGCTTCGTGGTGCCAGAGTGGCTCCCAGTGTGAATTTCCCGCTGTTGCTGCTGCTCTCAACACTTGAGGCCGACTTTTGTTCATCGGCATCCAGTGAGGTCTGATATGGATTCTGTTTGCGATGATACATTTGCCAATCGCTGCTATTCAAGCCAGGCGATTTGCGACGAGTGGTGCGTCGACTGTGCAGTGACTGTTGGGTATCCAGACGTGAGAGCGAGGTGGAGTGCAAACTGGAGGCCGTTGGCTGCATTAACATATTGCTTTGATTCATGGCCTGCCCAGGGCTGTGGCCATATCCATATCCATATCCATAACCGCCRCTGCTGCCCGGCATGGGATGAGATTCATTGATCGGATGCACCACAATCGACAGCTCCGTCTCGTTGGCAGCAGAGTCCAGGGAGCGTGCCTTCTCCTTGGTGCTCTTGATTGTGGGCGTCTTTGGCTTGGAGGGCGATAACGGCTTGGCCAGCTGCACATCTGTGATGCGTATGGTGAGATTGTTCTTATTCTTGCGATTGCGTCGACCCGTTTCGACTGTGACAGCTTGCTTTGCTTGCTGTTGTTGCTGTTGCTGATTGTCAGGCTCTTCGGCTGCCAGGGCAGCAATCGGTGGCGACTGCTGCACCACCATATCTTGCACCACATGATCGATTTCGGGAAAGCGAAAGAAATTGCCATTTTTATAGCCAGCCGAATTAATGATGTTGAGCGGGGAGCCGCTCAACGAATGATTCAAATTCAAATTATTTATGGAGGCGAGCAACTTGGGTGAGTAGCTGTGCCGGCTCGAATCGTTAAGGAGATTTGGCGTTGTTGTTGCCGTTGACGTAGTTGTTGTTGTCGTCGTTGAGCTATCATCTCTAAAAAGGATTGTGGGTGAGTTGTGTTCGCTTTTCGATAAATACAAACTATCGTGATCGTTATCGGTGCCGCATTTTTTTGGTATCGTATTCTCCTTGTTGGCAAATATCCGACCTGCGTCCTGCGGCGAACATGATCGTCGATCGTATAAGGAAAATCGCTTAAATTTACGATTTAGCGTCGTCGGCGATTGCGGCAATTGCGTTGAGTGTTGCTGCTGCGGCTGCTGATGCTGCGGCTGCTGTTTAGGATTACAAACTGTAAACTGTTTCGGTGTATAGAGTGGCTCCTCATCGCATGCATCAGATGTCGCTGCTGCAGATGGAGTTGTGGGCGATGGGAACTCAAAGGAGGTCTGTAGATATTCGAGGGGCGTAAAATATGGTGTGGGCGTGCTCTTATTGCTTTCCACATCGATATCGGTTTCAGCAGCATTGGTATAGGAGCACTCAATTGATGCAATAACTGCATGTTCTTTGTTGTTGTTTTTTAACTTGTCCATTATATACACACACAAAACACACAGAAAACGCGCTGCGCTCCGCTCCTCACTCCTCACTCCACATACACACCGCTCCGCTCTGCGCTGACACGCTCGCTCGCTCGCTTCGTTCACACGCCTTCAGTTTGTGCTGGGGCTGCTATTTGGCTAGACAGGCGCTGCCATGCAGTTGGTATAATGCCGTCAAACGGTTAACATTATTGGCATGCACATTAGCCACTAGCTGGTTGACAAACTATATAGGCATTGCAAGAAAATTGCGCTTTTCACAACACAACATTTTTACACACGCAAAATAAGGAAAATAATCAACCTAAATACAATGTGACCAAGCCATCTTACACATAAATTAATACATATTCATATGTATATAGAGATATGCCAACAATATATCGATATATTATTATTGTATGTGGTATTTTTGGCTGCGATGTTTGCAAATAAAACGAAAAATACTATATTATCGGCCATTGCATAGGCAGGCCAAGTTTATTGTTTGGCCGTTGCGTTTCAATTTAGTTTGTAGTCAACAGGCATAACTTAGAACACACAATATAACTAATATAACTTTAAAAATTTATCTGTCTGAAAAATGTTTACTAGCATATCAGTTGATCAGAGTTCAGCCATAAGCGTAGCATGGTGCGATTTTGTGCCAAAAGTGAAGCTTCCTCGAGATATTTAAAATGCTTGTCCTCAAATTGTGGTACCTTCATTGGTTCTGGCGATTGTAAGCAAATGACGCAAATGCTTTGATTTTTGACTATCCGCTGCAATCGCTCGTGATGAAAGCTTAAATAGCTGATCGAATCCACAAATGTCGGTGATTTCACATTGTTGTTGTTATTGTTGATGGTGTTGTGGTGCTGATTGATTGGTGTGCCCTCGCTGTCATTCGATGCTGTGGATGAACTGCCTTGAATTGAATTCAAATTCCTTGCTGTCTGCATTACGTTTTCCGCATTGGCAGCGGTGTCATCCGCATTGCATGCCAGTTTTTTGAATTGCAATTCAAGCTCTTTAATCTCAGCATCTTCTGATTCAGATTTCGGCTTGGTTGGCAGCTCGCTAGTTTTCGAAGTGAGGATTCTTGGAGTTGTTGTTGTTGCTCCCGCTGCTGCTGCTGCTGCTGCTGCTGCCGATGGCTTCTTCGTTTTGGTTGTCTTCAATCGTGCAGTTGCTTTCATAGCCTCAACATCAGCACGAAACACTTTTGGATCAACTCGGACAATGTGCGGCTTATGTGGTTGCTCATCAAATATTCGAAACTTTGTGTCAGCGGTTATCTTACTATTATTATTATGATGATTGTTGTTGTGGTTGTTGGCCTTTTGACCCTTGCTGCCAGGCTTATTATTAAATTTTTTGAGACGCGGCGATATCATTACTTTCACACCCAATCCAGTTTGTACGGCTGCCGCATAGCTCATTCGCATGCCCTGCATTGTCGTCGATGGCAATGATGATGATGACGTTGCTGCTGGAGATGCTGCTACTGGTGGTGCTGTCGTGGTTACGGTTGTTATTGTTGTTGCGCCTGTTGTTGCGGCTGCTGCTGCTGCCGCCGCTGTTAGAGTTGACCCCTCCAAATTCATATATTCACCGAGCGGCTTGCGACGCACGGGCACAAACTGACACGGCTCCTTGGCCAGATCATCGTCATGATGCCCAACGCTGTTGTCATGATCATCATTATCATCGTTGTTGTTTTGGTTGCTGCTGCAGCTGCTGCTGTTGTTGCCGCTGCTGATATTGCCGCTGCTGTTATTGCCGCTGCTGTTGTTGCTATTATGATGATGCTGATAGTGACTCTTTCTGCGTGCATTGCGGTTCTTGCGTTTCGCGAGCGCAGCCGCTGACTTTGATTTGGGCGGCTCCAGTTTTGACTGACGTCTTCCGTTGATCACCACTGGTTGGATGTCTTTGGTGAATGGACGCATTTAAGAATTTTCGTACATATGTATAGGATACGATACATGTATATATGTATGCAATATATATGCATATACATACACATATACATAGGCATACGCATACATACATGTACATATACGTAGATGGGTAGATATATGTATGTATATGTATATGTATGTATGCGCGTTTATTACGTACTTTTAATTCTTAATAATCGACGTAATCAACAGCTATTATAATCGATTCAATTGTAGAAAGAACTTACCGATATCGGGATGTAGTTTTCGCGGAGTTCTGTGATGTTGTTTTTTTTTATTGCTACTTTCATTTTACAAAATTTTTTATTTTGATCTACTTTCTCTGACAGTAAATTTAGATGCCTTTAGCATTTGTTAGCAACCCAGAAAGTTTTTATAATCGTATCAAACATTGAAATATAATATATGTATATATGTTTATAATATATATATACACGTACATTTATATATATAAAACATACATAAATATTAATATATAAAGACGCAAAAATGTTTCCCGCTGGTTTGTTTCTACGCACACAAGCCTCAATTCCAAATTACGCGTAAGTCCCAATCCGCATATCCGGATAATGGTAACGGTAAACGGTAATCCCTCCCCATAGACGTTACTCAGAGTCGAAGAGCAGTTTACCTACAAATGTATTTCTGCTGGGCGGCGGTCTCGGTAAGTTGCAAGGTGGCATCAAGGAAGAAGAATACTTTAGCTCGATCAATCATGGATTAATGTCCAATATACGCAAACATATTGAGTCCTCGAAGACCGCAGACTATATGCGCAAATACGAGGAATATCAACGTACATTAGATCATGCTGCTCTCTACAATACAACTTGTATAAACAAATACAAGGATATACATGAAGAGGCATTCTTCTTGAATGAGGTAACTATGGAATATGATGAACATCAAAGGAATGTATCTCTCAATTTCCTCTCTCTCTCCCTCATCTCGCCATCTCCTTCTCTAGAGCACCGAATGTTTAAAAGTTTTGCATAATCGTGGAAAGGACGATCCCATCGATGACGATGAATCATAGGCAAAGTAATTGGCAAATCCAAATGAATGTTCAAAAATACCAAGGAAAATTAGAAAAACAAAATAATATCCAAAAAACATTCTCGTCATTTTCAACTGATTTGGACGCAATTTCTTGTTGTTTCTCGTTTCGTATGCAAATTGTATTGGAATGCTCTGAGCTAGGCAGCAGAGCAGTATTTTCAATTCACAATTCAAATTTTTCCCTCGTTTAAATTCGGAAGTCTTACAACAAGTTGGCAGAGCCCGCACAAATAATACCAATCCGAATGGACAATGCACAAGCAGCTGAGATTTTCATAATACCATGAAATAAAGAGCAACGATCACTCATCGTATATTACTACTTAAAACATATATATATATACATAAAAACATATATATATATATACTTGAGTAATATACTATATTAGCTGCCGGTATATAAATCAATATGTTTACACTGCGCCGCATCAGTCAACATCTGTATCCAAAACAAATTCAGTAAGTTCCATAAGAGCAACGAGATTGCATAAGCTCTCTCTCTCTCTCTCTCTCTCTCTCTCTCTCTCGCTCTCGATTTCCATCTCATTCACTCTCTATCTACCTGTTTGCGAATATACATATATACTTATAATTATATCTATTTGTTTATTAGATACTTGAGAATGTCGCATGTGGGCGAGCTGGGCAGTGGTGCAGGCAAAGGTGGGGGCGCAGGCGGCTCCATACGCGAAGCTGGTGGATCGTTTGGCAAAATGGAAGCTGCGCGCGAGGAGGAGTTCTTCTATAAGCAGGTCGGTACTTACAAATAAAATCTATATATAGTCTATATAGACGAGAGTGACTTGAATTGTTTTTGCATAAGGAAAGAAGTTGAAATCGAAAGAAATAATATATAAAAAAACTATTTGCCTTTCTTGTTTATAACTTCACTTATTCTAAATTTCTTGTCTATTTCAGCAAAAGGAACAACTCAAGAACCTGAAGACAAAGACCGACACCAAGACGCCCGAAGCAACAAAGAAATGAAATACATAAACACACGTACATATATAAATGCTCAATTTTATAGTTTTTAGTTCTGTTTGATAGTTTTTTATGGATCACATTTCGAAATAAATTAAAATATTTTGTGTGAAGGAAAATTTCGTGTAATACCTGAAGTGGTGTAATACCTAAAATGCATTCATGTCGCTATAGATAGCACTTGATGAGGCTGATGCAATTAGCAATAGTTCTGCTTTAATTGGAATGTACGAAATGTATTATAAACGAGGTTGGTACGAGGAATTTATGAAGATAATGAGGCGAAATTATATATATTACAATTGAATTTTTTGATTATTAGGTTTTTTTTTCATAAGCTGAACTAAATTAACTATCGCCATAAGTCGATCATTTTAATACTAGATAATTCCCACTGCATAATTTAAATAAAAGGGAAATGCGCTATCTTTCTGTCTTTCAACCGTTTCAGTAAATAATCTACAATATCTTTAAGATATCAATATACCACAATCCTAAGCAAATCAAATATATTAATTATAATTTTATTTTTACTATTCTTTAGCAGCTTTACAAATAGCACAGGACTTGTCGTTTTTTCATTCTAAATACATTGAAGACTTCCAATAGTAAATTCGTATAAACTTATTCTAATTCTCATATTGGTATAAAAAGGCTTCTTTTAATAAATAATAATAACGATTGCTTATTGCGTTGAGGTTTCGACCTTCTTGGCGTTATCCTCCTTGGAGGAGGGTCCAGTCTGTGTGATTTGCACTAGGCGCTCCGTGGTGGGCGGGGGCAATTTCTTCATGGGCGCCGTAATGGTCAGCAGGCCATCCGAGGACAGGGATGAGGTGACTGTGTCTGGATTGACATCAGCTGCAATAGGTAACAGAAAGTGGATATAATATAAACAATAAAAGAGGAAATTCTAGTCAACCCACCTGGCAGCTGATAACGTCTGGAGAACTGTCTGGCTACGAAGCCATGCTCGTCCTGCTTCTCCTCGTGCTTGCCCTCGACTATGACGAATTTATCGGATACTTTCACTGTAATCTCATTCGGGGAGAACTGCTGCACGTCGAGAATCACTTCGAACTTCTCGTTGTCGATGTTCAGAGTGGAGCCCGATTCCTGTCGCTGCAAACTATTCACAGAGCGCTGCCACGGACGCAGATAGCCCGAGCGTAGCACAGTGGGGCGCGAGTTCCAAACGGACGACAAAAGATCATCCCGTTTCAGACCCTGGCCAAAGTGTTGATCCAACAGGCGCGATGTGCGCATTGGAAAGTCAAGCTCATCCCACCAATCACGGAACATTAGAGGAACAACGGACATCTATTTGAAGAAGGGAAAGGAGATAACAAGCTAATGGCAGTTATCTATAATCCGAAACGTTTGAATTTTCATATATATTTTCTTTTTATATTAAACTTTCTTTGTTTTTTGTATAATTTGGCTACCTTTCGTACCTTTGCTAATTATTCCAATTAATCACAGAATGTAGAATTTTTCGTGTTTTCCGATTCGCGGTTGCAACGTTTTTGTGGAACATTTCGAAAAGTCTGCTCAGTTTTATAGCATCGCATTCAACTGTTTACATTCGCTTCTCTATGCGCTAAAAATATGAAAATGTATTTGCCTTCTAAATTTAGCCTAGCGTCATCCACATGAATTTATATCTATATATATAGATGTATATATATTTATGACTATGTGCCACATATATCTTGTGTTTGGCCAAATATATTGCTTATACAAATACAAACTACAAAGTATACCCTGTAAATGACTTAAGAAAACTGAATAAAATAATTACAAAATAATAATTATGATATATTTCTGATTGCAAAATACTTGTAAATTATTGCTGTTTAAAAGAATATAATCTAAGTATATATTTGACCCCTTAATAATCGAATAAAATTTTTATTAGGATGTTTTCTTATAGTTAGCTTTCTTGAAAACTTGAAATAGAAATTCAATTATTTTTTCACTAACATTATTATTATTATTTTTTTTTTTTTTTTTTCTGTTTTCATGTTTGTACGAATTTATCTAAAATTTTTCTTATAGGATATGTTTGATGAGCATCTTTGATGTTTTTGTTAGGGTTTTGGTTGTTTGTTTTGTTTTTGTTCTTTTTTTTTTACGGAAAGACGTGTGCACTGACGCCTCTGCATGGAAAATTCTATATGTATCTTAAATGTTCCACAGACCATTGGAAAAATTCTGTTCAAACAAGCCAAACCGCGATGCATGCAATTATTTGTATAATCTTTTAATAACATATGTATATATAGAATGAAATTTACTAGATGATTTGCCCAAATGTTTTGCAATGTTTTGCATTTTCATTTTTTATGGAAAGTTTAAATTCTTAGAAGTTGCCAGAAGTTGATCCCATAGAAATAAACACCTACGTTGAACTACTTATATATGGCCTTACAGCCGCACGACAGGAAATATTTTCCCAATTCAACCTGTTGAAAATCATTTGATGCCACCCATTAAAATATTTGGCAAATAAATGAGTTTTTAGATTATTTTTGGCATCTGCTGCTGAGTCACTATGCGTCTGTTAGACGAACGCTGTGACGTATCCAAGATGTCTTTGATTTCTTATTTAAGGCGTAAACATTAAATTAATAATGAGTATTTTCATTGATCATCTTATTCATAAATATTTATAGTCACACTAAATATGCTTCTCACCCATTGTTGCTCGCTTTCTATTGTTATTATTTCATTATGTCTGTCCAACTCTTATCTCTTTCTCTCTCCGACTTATCATCCTTATGATTTTCTTCCCTATGTCTTATGCCTTATTGTCTATCTCTCTAGGTTTATCCATTTTCTCGAAATCTTATTTCTTGTTTGTGTCACTTTCTATCCCCTCCGTCTCTTCTACGGTTGTACTCTTTTTCGCTCGCTTTTGGTTTCCTTTTTCTCTAGTTTTTTCTGTCTCTTTCCCTAATTCTAATTCTTTGCTCCCTTTCTTTCTCTTCTCTCCCTTTCTCCTTAACATATCAATTTTGTTTTTCTTTCTTAGTAGAAACACCCTGTTTTTATATGCACCACCACCAGCAGCCCACATATTGGTCCACGAATCCCCTTTTATATGTGTGTGTGTGTCTATTTGTGCGTGTGCGTGAAATATAGGGAAACCGACTTGAAGCCGAGCGACGCCCAAAAGTAGGCCAAAGCCAAAACAGCGGGCAACTCGCTGTCCTATGCATGTGTGTGTGCGATTGTGTGTTATCTGTGTATGCGTGTCCGCATGTCTGTGTGTCTGCTCCTGCGTCATGTGATACGCGAACAGGAGGCGAAAAGAGCATAACAAAAACATCAATTACGAAACGCAACGCAATGCAAGAGGTGCGACACAATAAAAGGTTGCAAGTTATGTGTGCATTTTATTTTACTATTTCGCTCACTTTGCAGGCGCTGCCCGTGACGTTTAGCCTGCCCAGACATGGTGGAAATGGAGGACCTGGAGGATATGGAGGTTGGCTGCTGGTCATGCTGATGCTGCTCGTGGCGATGACTCCACTGCACGCCAGCGAGGACGGACGCAACTCAAACAAACGCTACTCGGATCAGAGCGTACATGGTTACATGACTGAGGTATCATTTGCAACAAATTAAAGGTCCACTTGGATTTACCAATGCATTTATAGCGCACCTGCTGGTGGAACGAGGTGTGCAAGGAGGAGTTCCAAAATCTGTTTCGGTGCAAGTGTCCCCAGTATTCCTATTGCCGGTATGTGTTGTAGAATTATCTTATCAGTGTGAATTACTTGTAATCGTACAATCTTTATTTTCAGCTCGCCAGGACGCTATTATAATGCGTATTGCTCTATGACAGATACCGGTTATATTTGGACGCAACTGGCGTTGGGCACCGTCGAGCGTTGAGTGCGTGACGTCAAACATATCATAACAGTTAAATTACCAACAACAACAACAAGAACAAGAACACCAATAACAATAACATAGACCAGCACCAATGGCAGCTACACTGACTGCTGATAGTATGCGACCATTTACCAAGTGGACTACAACGAATATTCTAAAATGACAACCAAGCTATCACATGCTCCTTTACTACAAATATTAGCAACAAATTATATAACGTTTTGGTGCTCATGTATTTATCGACATTTGAATATATATAGCAAATTCCTTAAAGTGAATTGCGCAGTATTAGATCGATAAATGCAAAGCACTCGCATGCACTTAGAACACATACACACACTTGCACGCCTAACTGTGTGAGTTAGTTCATTATTGGATATTGTGTTATCGATTTGTGTGCATAAATAAAACTATCGACCATTTGCATTAGGCGGCCTTATTTTTGTTGCCTAACTTTTGGCGCTCAAATGCTTGGCCAATTGGAAAATCAATATAACTTTTTTCAATCAGCGCTCTTCAAGCTGTGCCCGTGCCACCGTGGCACAAACTCTTAACGTAACTGGCCATCATATAAATTTCACCTGTTTTTAGCCTATGCGAACCACAGTACAGGAGAGGCGCATGCGTTTGCAATGAAAGCGAAAAGTGTAGGTGCTGTGCGTATTGGTTGGCCCCGAGTGATTTTAGTTATTGCCAGCTCAACATATAGACAACTCCAACAGATGTTAGGGCAATCAAAGCCTTAGAAAATTGTGTGCAAATAAACGAGCATCAGTGCGGTTTGCAGTTTTATTACAAGAATTGTGCAAAGATAGTAAATATAATTCGAAATCGCGCAGAATGCGAAGTTATTTTTTCGGAGCGCTGCTGGCGCTGGCTTTAGCCGAAATATCTGCGATTGGGGGCAACCACCTGCCAGAGGCTGCGTTAAACCTCAACGAACGTTTCTTCGATGAGGTCAGGGAGCTCATCAAGCGACGCATGGAGGTAAGTTGCAGCTCTGCTATTGTGGGATTTCTTCTCTCATTCTTACCCTCTCGCTATCTATCTCGCCCTCCCTCTCTTACCCTTTTTGTAGAGCAAGCCGCTTCCTTTGGCGGGCGATGAAGTGGCGCTGCAGAATCAACGTAGCTATGACAATGTGCCCATACCAGCAGCTAATGTGCCCGTTCCAGTGCTGGTCGAGAATTGGCCCACAGATCAGCATAGTTTTGGCCAAGTCACAGCTGTTTCTGTTGATCCAGAGGGCAACCCAGTGATTTTCCATCGCGCTGACCGCTACTGGGATGTTAAGTAGGTCAACAGCTGTCCGCTAACAAGTGTTTGTTTCGCACATATTCATACTCTATTTTCTCTTGCAGCACCTTCAATGAGAGCAACATCTACTATCTGATTGAGTATGGACCCATTAAGGAGAAAACCATTTATGTGCTAGATCCAAAGACGGGCGCTATTAAAACCGGCTGGGGCTCGGAAATGTTCTATATGCCACATGGCATGACTATAGATGGACATGGAAACTACTGGATTACTGATGTGGCTATGCATCAGGCCTTCAAGGTGGGCTCAACTTTTGCTTTTAGTGTATATACAACATATTGCATCAATTACAGTTCCGACCCTTTGAGAGCAAACCACAACTGGTCATAGGCAAACGCTTCCGACCCGGCTCCTCGGTCAAGCATCTGTGCAAACCCACTTCAATAGCTGTCGCCACCACAGGCGAGGTGAGTACTATTTATATTTAATGCAAACCTATACTAATTCCATCTATTTATTGCAGTTCTTTATAGCTGATGGCTACTGTAACAGTCGCATACTCAAGTTCAATGCAGCTGGCAAATTGCTGCGCAGCATTCCACAGCCACCGGGTGCGTATACGTAATATATTTCAAGTATAAATGTATATATAATATTGCTAATAATTGCAGAATTCCTCTCCTTACAAGTGCCACATGCCATTACCCTATTGGAGCACTTGGATTTACTATGCATTGCGGATCGTGAGAATATGCGTGTTGTGTGCCCCAAGTAAGAGAATACATAATTGATAAGAGAAAATATAAATGGAGTGAGTATACAAAGATGAAAGAGAAGATACGCCAACAAGAGTAAAGTAAAAAGCGAGAAGAGACAAGAGAGCAGTTTGAAGTTAAACTGAAACTGAACTCTGAAAAGAGACGGCCCAAGACTAAGATAGTAATAAGATGAGGAGAATAGAGAAGAAAAAAATATCAAAGATTTAGAAATATAACAAAAGAGAAATGAAGGGAATGTTTAAATATCACATTAACTTAAATTAAGTTAAATATTAATATGCTCTTTAAAATAATTTTAGAGCTGGCCTGAAGTCATCGCATGGCGAGGGTCAACCGGCTGCCACCATCCAGGAACCGGATCTGGGACGCGTCTTTGGTGTCAGTGGCTATGGCGACATAGTCTTTGCAGTGAATGGACCCACTTCAATGCTGCCTGTGCGTGGCTTCACCATAGATCCACGCTCCGAGACTATTATTGGACACTGGGGCGAGTTCAAGAATCCCCACTCGATAGCCGTCAGTGTGAATGGATCGGCTCTCTATGTGACGGAGACGGGCACCAATCACCAGACGAATCGCGTGTGGAAATATGTTTTGGCTTGAGGTATTGTTCGATTGCCAAAAGCCCGGAAGAGCTCTCCACTAGCAGCAACAACATATATCTGAGAGGCGTATCGGCATATCCAAAAGAAGTAAATAAAAAATAGTGAATAAATATATAGAACCAAGACCCTAGAACCTATAGAGCAACAGTGAAACAGAATACCAAAAACAAAACCAAAACAATAGACAAATTTTTTGATAAAAAAGACAAGTTGAATTGATAGCAAAAACCAATAGTAGTAATTTATTAATTATACAATTTAAGTATGTAAATTGCTGGACAAAACAAATTACCACAACAAAGATAACCTCAACACTTATGTTTTGCGCCGTAATCGAGCAAATGGATTTACAAAGCATATATACTATATATATATACCTATAACTAACAATATATCTAATGCGTCAGCCGTGAGAGTTATCTGAACTATATATTATATAAAAATTATCTAACACTATGTACCATATTGTAATCCGCACAAATATAACATATAATATATATATATCTGTCTCTCTCTTTATATAATATTATTGTACTCCATGTAAATTATGTATGTAATAAACTGTTGTTGTTGTGCACATATATGGATATGTTTATATTTACTTAAATGTTAATACTATATAATAGCTAATGCACAAGAATGTTGATGAATATGATGATATTTGAATGGAATCCAACACGTTTCAGTCAAGGAATGTTTACTTGGCAAGTTCTCGCTGACTACGATTTGTTTGCAGATGACTGTAGCTTAGACTAGACAAAGTCTACAATAAATATATATATATACAAATAAGTATATATAATGAATATATAGAAACTTCAACAATTACAAAACTACAATTATAAAAGCTTATGATAAATATATAAAAATATAATAATAGCTGACTTATAACAACTAATTGCTAAGAGGCACCACTTAAGCACATAATAATTATAATAATCATACATAAATTATATAAACTAATTGCTAAGAGGCACTTAACCAGCGCTTGGTAAAGGCCAACGTTTCATTTAGCCTGCGCAGCCACTCGACCAGCTCCGCTTGGGTATCCGCTGCAAAGAACGCCTCGCCATTGGGACACTGCAGCCAAAAGCTGCGAGCACGTGCGCACAGCTCTCGTGGCGCGACATCCAATTGCGATTGCCTGCACTCGCTCAGCTGCAGCGACAGCAGCGGCGGCTGCTCGCTGAGATTGTGTTCGTACTGCCAAACGGCCAGATGCAGTCCGTCCAGCGTGCACCAGCGACGATTCCAATTGTGCTTGTTCCTTGGATCCGTGTCCTGCACATTCAGATAGCCTGCATATTGCGATTTGGGCAAACGCAGCTCCACGCGCCCACTCAACTGGATTTGTGGCATCAGGTTCGAGGACTTGGTATGTGGTGTCAGAGGCAGTTGCCAGGTGCGAGAGGTGCGCAGCCACAATTTATCACTTGGTTGCGTTTCACTGGAGACCAGCTCGTAGGGCACCAGATCCGTGGCTTTCAACGTAAAGGAGGCATGCAGGCGGAACCGTGAGACAATCTGCGAGCAGCTGCTGGAGGAACTGCTAGAGCCAAGGCTGCCACTGCCTCGTTTCTAAAAAGAATTACACATGAGTAAGGATTGGGAGGAGAAACAAGGAATTGATCTACCAGCTTGTTGGGCGGCTCCAGCGACAGCGTCGACACTTTACGCAGACGCAGCATGAAAATTTGGCAGTGCAGCTCCAGCGCCTCCGCTTCACCAGCGCTATAGAACTCCAATCCACAATCACGAAAGACGGCAGCTCCATTCTGGCACTCAATGGACTGGGTGGAGCGTATGCGACCCTCACATTCGATGGTGCAGATGTAATAGTAGTTGAAGAACATATCTTGGTTAGCATCCGATTTGACAGGCAAATACAAGCCATCCAGGAGCAGGCACTGCGACTGCTGACGCATAGCTAAAGTTGCCTCTCTGGCGAGGATCGATGGCTCAGTCTTTTGTCTCAATGAACTGAAGAGCAGCAGACGCTCCGCCTCCACCATTTCTGGCGAAATTTCCAGTTCGGGCATTTGGCGACAAATGCTGACAGCTTGAGCCAACTGCTCCTTCGTCGTTAGCGATTCATTGAGCAGCGAGTCCAGATTGAAGCTGGCATAGTAGCTGCTGCTGTCCAACTCAGTTTCCGTTTGATTGGACTGATCGCGGGACAGGCTCAGATTCTGAGCGAGTCGCTGCTTCTCGGCCAGCAAGAAGTCTTTGCCCTTGCGATACGAGCGACGCACTGCATCCTTCAACATACGATAACGCGCCATGGTGCTCATGGATAATAGCTGACTCTCATTGGCTGGCAGCTCAGTTAGGCTCCTATGCGACGGCTTCAACGGCGGCAGCTGCTCTTGCTGCTGTGGCGTTGTTGGGCAGCTGTGGCTTACAGTCTGCCCTGACACCGACGGACCATCATTGATATCAATGCTGGGCTAAAATAAATTGGGCGCAAGGCAATGGTTAGCATATACTAAACTTAGTTAAAGTGTGTGTTGGCAAAGCAAAGAAGCAAGCAGAAAGTGTTTTTGTCGTTTTGTTTATAACTAATTTATAATGTGTGATATAACTGTACAGGGATTTCTTGATAAATGTATGAATACAGCGATAGTGTGCGTTGGCTAATGAGTATCAACAAAAATCTCTACCTTAGTCGTAAAGCGCTGCTGCTGCTGCTGTGGTTGTTTCTTTGGCGTGCTTTGATTATCGGAGGATGGAGGCGGCGGCTCTAGCTGCACAGATCCATATTTGGTGGCAAAGGAGCTGCCACTGGCGTTGCGATCATCGAGCATATAGTCTTCATACAGTTCCACAGGCATATCATACGAGACATCATCTGCAGCTGGATTCGCTCTCAGGCAAGTCTATCGAGATATAGTTTTCGTTTATTTATATTAAAAAATGTAATATACAATTAATTGAATACTTACATTTTGCACCTTTTCCAGTCGCACATTATCATCCGGATCCAGCACAATCTCGCTGCGACAGAGATTCTCGAGGAATATCTCGCTGCGCTGCAGCGATAGCTCCGATTTGCTTAAATTACGATTCTTCTTGGGCGGCGAGTGTTGTTCGTTTATGTTATTTAGCGATTGATGCATTGGCAAGGTCGCCTGATTCGAGATACTATTCGAGTTGGATATGATGTATGAACTGTCGCTGGTGGGCTCATCAGGCAGCGGCATAAACTGAAAGAAGCTGCCATTCTGTAAGGACTCCTGCAGAAACTGTCCCAGTGCTCTGGGTGGAGGCGCAGCCTTTGCGGGTGTTGCCTTCGATGGGGTCTTGTTGGCCTTTTGCACTTGGGCATAGAGTGCGTTGATATCTACGGGTGGCACGGGTGAGGACAAGGGTGTTGGCTCACTAATTGTTCCGGGCACGGTTACAGTTGTAGTGGGAGTGGGCGTGACTGTAGGCGTTGTTGTCGGCGTAGGTGTCGATGCTGGTGTTGGTGTTGGTGTGGGTGCCAGTTTAAGGTGCGCTTCAGTGCGCACATCAAATTGTGGACTGCCGCTAACCAGCATACAATCCTCTTCAATTTCTGAGTAAATTGGCTCCCGCTCAAGAGTACGATGCTGCCGTTGCATAGATGTTGTTGAGCGTTGCAAACGTCTGCTGGGAGCATCAACGCAATCGAAACTATCCGTTGGCAGCTCCACATTGTGTAATTGTTCCTCAGGCGTCAGACGTGAGCTCGCCTGCAATATGTTAAAAATATTTTCAAATTATGTTCTACAAAATTACAGTTAAATAGATACAGTAACAAATTGCTTAAATTACTTTTGATTCCGACTATCAAATTTAAATTAATTTTTTTCCCATCGCGCGCTATTACAATGTTCGATAACAATCATTGTTATCGATGTGTGAATGGCAATTAACTGTACACTGCATTGCGAATGTCAAAACAACATTAGTGTGTAAGACGGGCATTGGCTGGCGTTGTTTATATTTTCTGGTCGGAATTGGGAATACAATTGTTTTACATCTGTAACACCCGTGTAATTATATCCAATGTATAAATCCCGACTCCGACCACTAAGCATGAGAATACAATTCATACGCAACAGCTTGTATAGTAGGCGCCAGCCAAGCCAGAAAATGGAGCAACGCTACGATTTCAATCGGGAATGGAAGCTAACATCAAACTATGAGGCTAACTCTCTATCGAAAATAAAGCTGCTATCGTACAACATACTCGCTCAGGACCTGCTAATGGAGCACTTCTTTCTCTATGTGAATATCAAGCAGGAGTGGCTAACGTGGCGACATCGTTTGCGGAATATCCATCGCGAGATTCACAAATTGGATCCAGACATACTCTGCTTGCAGGAGATGCAATTCGATCATTTACCCATGCTGGTGCAGCGTTTGAAGGCCAGCAGTGGCAAGCGCTTGGAATATGTGTACAAAAAGAAGACAGGCAGCCGCACCGATGGCTGTGCCATAATATACGATTCCTGCAAGCTGCAGCTGCTAAAGGAGCAGGCTGTAGAGCTCTACGATCCAGATGTTCCACTGCTCAATCGTGAGAATGTGGCTATATTAGCCAAATTTCGATTAAAGCAACCGACCAGCACCGAGGAATCTACTAAGGATAACAATGAAGTGATTGTGGCCACTACGCATCTGCTCTATAATCCACGACGGGCTGATGTGCGCTGTGCCCAGGTGAGCAAGTTGCTCACAGAACTGCGCTGCTTTGCTACAGACGCGACTCAAAATGCAACGCCTGTAATTTTAACTGGAGATTTTAATTCGGAATTACATACGGCGCCAATGCAGCTGCTATTAAGCCAAGATGAGGATCCGGCTTCGATTAACTTTGAGGCATTAAATTACGGTGACTGCACGGCGTCCACGCTGCAAGACGAATGGATCACTGTCGACTATATTCTGCGCTCTGTATGCCAGCAGAGCCGGCGGAAACTAGAGATACTAAGCGTTTACCAACTGCCAACAATCAATTGCTGCGCCCATGTGGGTATGATACCCAATCACTATCTCGGCTCGGATCATTATGCGCTCGGAGCAGTCTTTGCTCTGGCCTAGCATTTAAATGTCTCCCTAACTCAATAATAAATGCCACCTAAATTTGTTGTAAATAAGTAAATTGATAAAAGCATTCTAAATTAATTTATGTTGAAAAAGGACATTCGTGTAGAATGTTAAGTTTCTAGAGTACACTGTTAAATTTTTCATCAGACAGATTTGATGAAATCATGATTATGATTAATATTAATATACATACATATATAAAAATGTAGATAATATATGCGAATCATATTAAGTAAGTAGAATTAAGAAGTGTGACGTATCTAGAGATCTACATACATATATTTTATATATTTTTGAAAATTAAAATTCAACTCACCCCAAATGTGCGCATGGCGCGCTCATCACTAGCCTCTAATTTGGCTCGTATGTTGCCCAGCAAGTAGCCCATTTTAGTGATGGTCACATCTTGATCTAGATCCTTCTGAAATGAGCGATAGGTAGCAGCTGGTGCCGAACTAGTGTTGCCTTGAAAGTTCAACTTGCGTGGACGCTGTGCACGCGGCTGCTTTGGCGGCTTCACCTTGCGTTCGAAATCGAAATAGGGCTGCTCACTGCTATCTTTGTATTGAGGCTGTCGAATGGAGCTTGTGGTGGCCGTTGGCGTTGATTGTACTGGGGAATGATAGCTGCCAGGCGGTGACTGGGACTGCAAATCCAATTGCGATATAGAGCTGGTCTGCACGCCCACTGTACAGAGGCGGGGAGTGGGTCGGCGACGTTCGCTATGCTCTCGCTCCAACTGCTCTTGGTTGCTCTTCTTGGGCGAGACAAATCGCAAGATTTTCTTTTTGGAATTATTTAAAAAGTTTTTGGATTTCTTGCGTAAGCCTGTGCGCTGCTTGTTGCCACTCCAAGGCGTCAGACTTCGTAACTGTTCGCTCCAAATGAATTTCTGGCTGCTCTGCTTGGGCAGACGTGGATATTTAATAGGCGTCTGCTTCTGCTCCATGTTGACGGCCAGATTATCACTCACGCCATCTACTGTGTCCAATGAGACCTTGGGCACCACCGGCACTTGCCAACCTATATTGGCCACCTGTGGCGCTGGCTCTGGTGCATTGGTCTTGAACTGCGTCCGCTTAGCTATATCATAGTTTAGCATATCATTGATTTTGGGCTCCGTCCAGCCGAGAGTAAAGTCCTTTATGGGCTTATCGGCCACAGCGCTCTTCTTGCTGGCCATGTGTATATTCTTGGCATAATGTGCGCCACGCTTGGACTCCACCACGCGCTCAATGTCGCTCAACGAGGGACAGCTGGGCAATGGATGGACACGCATCGGTTTCTCAATTTCAGCTGCAAATGTGAAGCATATATGTAGCGAAATATAGAAATCCAGATCGTCGAAATTTCTTTTTCATACATTTTATTTCTACAATTTTAGTTGTATATTAATTTGGTATCAATGAAAATTATTGAGACTAACTACCGTATTAGTTATAGTAGATATTGTAGAGTTAATATAGCCTAACACCTTTCCATTAATATTGTAACTCCTACTTACCTAATGGATAGGATTTGCGCTTGCTCTTTGACTTGGGCAAGTTCTCTTTTTCGGCAGTCGGCAGCTGCACGCCATGCTTGCGCAGAAATTCATCTAGGACGCGTTCAGCATCCCGCACCGAAGGCGTTGTCGAGGTCAAAGATGATAACGAGAATTTATCATCGAGACTCTGTGTGCTGCGGCGCGGTGGCTTAGGCGGCGGCTGCTCTATGTCGTGAGTCTTGAAGTTCACCTGGCCATGGGAGAGACGCTTCTGCAGCAGTCGTCCTCCACTGGAGCTGCGACGTGAACTGCGTCGAGTGGAATGCAAACTGCCTCCCGCTAGGCTAGTTTGCTCTGTTAGTAGACCCTTTTCGCTTTCCTCTAGCGGTGTCTCGTGTTCGCTTATGTTGGACAGCGCCGGCGCTGTGGGTTGATAGGTTACGGCCTCGCATTGACGCATTTTGGGCGCAGTTGCCTTTAGCTTGGAGGATGTAGCTGATGAGCTTGACGTTGTCGTGGTCGTTGTTTTTGTCGATTGATTGATGCCCGATAGTTTCTCGCGATTGACTCGCACCTCGGATATGACACAGTTATCACGCAGCTCCTGTATAATGTGTATGAGTGGCGCATTGTCGCCCACAGCATGCAAGCTGCTGACCGCCGTCAAGGGGTTAGTAGTAATGGATGTGTGTCCTGCAGCAATTACAGCTGGCTGCTTCGGTAGACTCCGTTTCGGCTGCTGCCGCTGCTGCTGAGCATTTAGATTATTCAGCGGCGGCTGTGCGACGCCCAGCTGTATGAAGAACCGCATGAATTAGTATATTGTATGTATATGTATATAAAATCAAATCTATGTAATTTTGACAGCGTTCATTACGGTTCACACCTTATTGCTTTCGGAGCGCCTACTGCGTTTTTGCTGCCGCACGTGCCAGTCACGTGGCGGCGCCGTCGTCGAAGCACAATCGCCACTGTCGCTGGTGAAGCAATAGCAGAAGCCATTCTTGCATGGTTTACCCTTCCGCTCTTGCGCCTTGTTACACAAATTCTGGTTGATTAGATGTGCATCGGTTGTGTTAGCGGCTGCAACTGGACCACCTTTTTGGTCTTCGCCACCAGGTGCTGACATTTCGCGATCTCGGCTTTGCGTGGAGACGCGTCTGATTCGACGTGCACGGAACTCGTTAATGCATTCCTGTAAGCTAAACGAGCTGGTCGAACCAGATTCATCTTCCTCCTCCTCCTCCTCATCATCATCATCGTCGTCGTCAGCAGTCGTCAATTTTGGGTACTTTGAACCTGCAATAGTCTGGCGATGCGCTTTGTTTACATGAATGCAATTCAATGAATTTATTGTAATTGTTACTCACTGTGGCCATTATCGTTTTGTTGTGCTAAATAATTCGCTGATAAGGCACCACAAACTGTTGAAAACGAGGCCACACTAACACGTTGCACGTTTTCTATTTTTTCTTTTCCCCCACAGTGCGAAGAAAAACGACGCGACGCTGCTGCATTTGAATTGACGCCGTCTCTCTTTCGTGCCGCTTTTCGCCGTTATCAGACGCAAATAATACAGGGCTGTTAACTGCTAGACGCACAGTGTCCCACAGACAACAACCGGTTTTCTGTTGTAGACTACCCTTGGGTATAGTGTGTTTCGCAACAACTAATGCATTTGACAATAAATCGTTATAAGTAAAAATAAAAAAAAAAAAAATAAATAAATAATCATTAGTCTTTTCGATATATTGAGCAATAAAACACAACAACAGTACAAGAATTAAGCCAGCTTAGTGCAAGTTTTGTCTACTATTAATTTCCAGTTGCTAGTTTACAATAATTTTTAAAGAAAATAATAAAATTATTTACTTTTATAAGTAATCATTTACCTCCAATATATTATTAAATAATTTTGCGTCATTAAAATACTATGGCTTTTTGTAGCACAGTGCCCACTTCAATCTCTTCGTTATGTTAGGCAACCCTGTCTAACAGCAGCAACAGAAACAGCTGACATATTGTGTGCGGCGTGAGGTTACGTAGTTTTTGGTTACGAAAATTGAGAAACTGTATATTTCAACACCAACTGCAGCTACATTACAATTGGGAATCGATTTAAAATGTCAAATAGCCATCTGTTTCTCAAATCCGGTTTTCCACGGGCACCCCTACAAAATGGGCTCGGCCGATACGTTTGCCAGCTGCAGCGCATCACGCTGAAGTTCTGCAAGAACAACGGCTCCAGCCGTGGCATGCGGTAAGCGTAAATAAACATATAGATTTGTATATACTATAGCTAACTGTGAATTTCTTGATAAGGGATTTCATTGAAAACCATTTGGTAGACTTTGCGAAGGAAAATCCCGGCATTGTGGTCTATGTGAAGCCGCGCCGTCACCGCACGCCTGTGTTGGTGGGTGAATACTGTAAGTAGTCGCGGTTGCCCAATGGGAGATTAAATTTATTACGGTATATGTATTTTAAACACTTAGTAAATGGTGATCGCGAATGGTTGAGCTGTCGCAACAGCACACAGGACGAGATCAGCAAATGGATAGATCTGCTAAAGACACAAAATGGTAGCTCCAGTTCGATGCGTCTACGTAAAATGTGGCATACAGACGTGCCCTCCATACAAGGACCCTGGACACCTTTTCTACTACGCTTACCCGACGCAAACAATCAAACTCTGCCCAGCAAGGAAGCATCACAACCCCTCGACATACCACAAACGGCTACCGAGAAGCTCATCGAGCTCTTCAAGCAACAAAAGCTGGAGGAGGGCAAAGCAGGTGACGAGATCCTGGAACAAAAGCGAGCTGAGTAAAATATTTATGTAATTAAAATCTTTAGTTGAGTTGTTTTATAATTATAATCGTTGCTTTTTATTGGGAGTCAACAAAAGATTTGTTTTCTAAACGAATAAATACACGATGTTTTAAAAACCTAAATAACTATAAATTTAATCCCATCAATTTGAATATCCAAAATATATGCGACAATATTTTTCCTTCTTCCTTGTTAAGCGAACAGTTTATTGTCCCATTTACCTAACATATATATATATATATAACTCTGTATATATATATTGATATTTTGTTGCCAGCCATTTTATGATATGTTCTGGGTATTTATACTAAATATCTATTTCAAACAATTGGGAATATCATAAATAATGCTTAAGGTTTTGAACCTCGGGCCTTTGACTCTGAGGTCGGAATACATAATAAGATATAAATATATACGTAAAAAAATGTATTATCAAACAGTGGCATATAGACCAATTTTTTTTAACAATTTAATATGCGTGTGGTTTGGAAAATTAAATTTTTGTTGTTGTGGAGATCAGCAAAACTATATGTCATTTCGGAACGATTTTAAGTACATGGATATATGTTCATATATGTCTCTGATAAATTCTCAGATAGCGAGTATATAATTGCATTTCAAAAGGCGAGTTTTGGAGTATATCAAAACAGACGAATAAACACAAAAGTATCAAATATTTAACTAGACATATGCAATATTTAGACAGACTTTCACATACGACTTAGATATACGTATTACAAATTACAAATACAATCAACGACAAATACATTGACGATAAAAAGCATTTTGCTTGCGCTTACATTTCTGAGTTTTTTCTTTTGTTTGTTTGCTTGTGAATTCCTTTGGCAAAATGCATTTCTACTTAAATCTAAACAAATTGTTTTAACATTGCCTTAAAATAAATCAATCTGGACGTTTTTTCTTCTAGTTTTCGATAGCTACTTAAATAATGTTAATTGTTTAAATTGTGAATATCACACCAATTCAATTTAAAAAAGTTGTTTGCTTTTCGATGCGTGTTTGTCTTTTTTTTCTTGTGTGTTTTACTTGCTATTTGGTGGACTTAGAAGGCTCTTTTAAATTAACTATTAGTATCTGGTTGTTGTTTCCTTTTCTTTTTGGTCTGATAATAGCCCCTTCTTTCTAAAGCAAATGCAGCCCGACTTCTGCACATCCAACTCAAATATCACCCGTTTCCATGGCTGTGTTAATATCTGCTACAATTTTGCCCATTACCTCACGATATGGTGAATCCGTTTTGAATGCCAGTTCCAATAGAGCCGCGTCGGCGAAGAAATCAAATACCTCATCAATGCGGCCAATGGATTTGTCTGTTAAATGTAACTGAACTATGGACTTAAGCGCCACTTGCGACTCCTTTATCGACTTTTGTAAGTATGCCAAATCGAAGGTGAAGTCCACCTCATAGAACGATATAATAGACAGTTGTGTGTTCTAGAAAGGAACTATATAAATTAGTATACACATTAAACTTAATATACATTTCCACTTTACTTGAAATTTTCGCTTAAAGTTCTCGGCATTTTGCAGCTCCTCCTGATTAAATTGATTATTTCGATGCAGAACACCAATTTTAATAACTATTTTGATTATGTTTTTAACAAGCTTCTCGGCGCGCGCTTTATTGCCTGTATGCAGCTTGCAAAGCTTATAGAGATTATCCAACAATGAAGCCGTTGTGCCGTCAATAAAGGTCTTCGCTATATTTTTTGTTGCCATGCGTGAGAGTATTTTCTTTTGAGCGCGTAACCCAATATCGTGCGACTTGAACACATTGTCCGCCATAACAGCTGCAATAGAGTTTGATAGGCATTATCTTATTTGAATTGTAAATGTGTGGAGCAGAAAAGTGAAACTTAATAACAAAATGAAAATCAAACCAAAGACGCAATGTTAACTCTCCATAAATTACCTTCCAGATTCCAGTAGTCAACACTCCAGAGCAAGAGGCTCTGTCTGAAGCCTGCCACAGACATTTTGGGGCAGCTCTTTTTTTAATTTTTTAATTTTTTTATTTTACTATCCAAATGCAAGCGTTAAAGATTGATAAAGATGTATAATTTTATATATAAATATAAACATGAGTAATTTCCACTGATATACCAAATATTGGACACGCCTATCTTTAATGATAAAGGGCTGTCACAAAGATAATGTTTTGGAGCTCTAGACGTTTACAGCTACAGCGAATTGTGACTGAAATTCAATTTTTTCTTTCGCTTTTCCATTAGCTTATTCTAACGGCTTTTGCTGCATACGTGCTGTTGGCCATAAATGGAGCTGCCAGCCCAAAATGGGGCTCAGACTCGCTCGACCATTCGACCAATTTAATTAAGTAAGCACCCTAGACTCTAAGGTATATATACATACAGACATACTATGGACATATATATATCTGTATAGTATGTATGCATATTTGAAATGGCTAAAGGTCACGCGATATGCAATGATATGACCAACAAGGCAAGGAAGGCGGGCTGCGCCTACGTCCAACTACCGCTGACTGAAGGACAAATGTGGCGAGCGGATGTGCTCATAGTGCATATAAAGGGAAATGCGGAAACGACGCGGCAGTTGACAACACCAACAACAATAACAACCACAACAATCAGCGTTTACACATATGTATGTATGTGGTACAACTTTATCGTATATGGCACTTGGTTCTGTTGTAGTTATTATTATTACACATCATGGGAAAGAGGGAGATGGAGTCAGCGGGAGTGATGGGGAAAGGGGTGCCTTTTGTTGTATTATTGATTGCAAGACGCAAGCAATGAAATATACAGATATACTCACACAGTCATAGAAACACTCACACACACAGACAGACAAACCTAGTACAACTTTGGCGCTCAATTAACAGTAAACTCACTCACTCACCTGTTAGTCTTCGTTGTTGTTGTCCTAGAAATCCTTGAGAAATACTTGAAGGTATCTATGCGCGTGTGCAGCAGTAGCAGGAGTAGTAGGCTAGTGCTCTAAATTAATAAGCCAACGTACTGAATGTGTGGAAATAAGTGGCAGCGTTACATTTATCAAGGACAATTAAAAAACAACACGAGGAAAACAAAAATACGAAAGCGCTGTGTGCACCAAAAACGACGCAAAATAAAACTTAGTGATGACTAAAGACAGCGATAACACGATTCAAATAAATGCTTATCGATAGCTAATACAGTGTTACACTACTGGAATGTATATAATAATTAAGCGCAATTTTCAAATAGTTTACAACCACAGTGTAGTTTAATTAATGATCAATAGAGATACTTTAAATTGCAGAGCAGTTTATTATAGAAATGACGACAGCATTGGATTTAAGTACTTAAATTGATCATTGATTTTTAAGTACTCACATGGATTACAATGTTACCCCGTTGAGGTTTTGTTTTTTAATCAATTTATCGATACATTTATAGTATACCGGCGCCCTCTTCAAAACTTACAATAAACCAGAGCATAATTGGGTTTATTTTATATCTCGCAACCACATTTATACAATAAGTTCATCAAAATGCTTACAACTAGAACAGCAAGAAGCAGCATTGGCTACTCCTTCGGCTTGTAGGGTATCATAAGGTTCTCTGAAAACGATTTAATGCTTTCCGGTCCGCGAACCTCTTTCTCTAGCAACGGCAGCTTAGTAACATGGAAGTCCTCATATAAATCTGCAATCTGGTCAAGGTATTTTTCCTGGATCTTGAAACGTGATGCGCACATGCTACAACTATTATGTGATTTGTCCAAAAATAACAATTGATTCACAATTATATTGTGCACATCGATGCCGCATTTGGTTAGCTCCTGCACCAGACGCTCCGTTTCGTAGAGAGAAAAGAATTCGGCAATGCAAACGCAAACAAAAGTCGTTTGATCCTAAGCACAGAAAGTTAAAAGCTTTAGATATATTCTTATGAGGTTAGTTAACCTAATCCTTACCGGATTCTTGAATTGTTCGTTGACTTGCGTTATGACACGTAACATGTCGTCCAATTTTTGTGACAGCGTGTCCGCATTCACATCGGCCATGCCCAGCATGGAGACGAATTGTGAGAGTAGTGGTGCCAGCTTCATCTTAAGGCGCAGCAGTTTGCCCAAGCCTTTCTCCACGACTTGTGGGAATGCGATGAGTCGCAGTGTGTGACCCGTAGGCGCCGTATCAAAGACGACCACAGAGAAATTCATGCCCTTCACCAGCTTCATGACCTCAGCATAGCTCATTGCCTCATCAATGCCGGGAAGCGCGTTGATCATCTCCTGCATTACACCCTTGCTGACTCGCAACGCCTCGTTCTCACCTTCGAAATACTCGTCGGGCAATTCGCCCAATCCAGCATTTGGATCGATTTCCATGGCAAACAGATTGTCAAATCCATTTACCTTGGTCGGCACCTTGGTAAACTTTTGATCGAATGCATCGGATATGTTGTGAGCCGGATCTGTGGAGATAATTAACACAGATTCGCGTACTTTTGACAATTGCACGGCCAAGCTGGAGCTGCGAATGGTTTAATTAGATTTGCAGAGCATTAAAATTGTTGTTGTTGCCATTAGTAAATGTCTCTGTTACTCACCTGCAAGTAGTTTTCCCCACGCCGCCTTTACCGCCTACAAATATCCATTTCAGAGATTCTTGCTCAACCAAGTTTTGTAGACTGGGCTCCAGGGGTGGTAGATTGTCAACCATATTGCTAATTGTCAAACGAGACACGTAATTTTGCGTAAAAATTTAAGCAAGTTTTTGGCTGCTGTCCAGGGATGAATAAATAAACCTAATATATCGACTTTATAGCATGTTATCGAAAATTTTGCGATAGCAGCTATCAATGACTGAAATTGGTTTTATTATTTGATTATTGTTTGAAAAATATTTCAATGAAAGCCCCTAATTCTTGCATCACATTTTTTTGTAACTGTATATATATATGTATAATGATATCGCTGATAGTTTTACAAATCAATTTCAAACAAGGTGCACTTCCAGTCATTTGGTATTTATGTTAATTGTTCAGTATTTCTGTTAAGTAAAGTGAAAGTTGCTCGATAAATTTTGAGTGTTCTTAAGTTGCATTACTCAGTGCTCAACAACGACGCGATTTACCGTTTTTAGCACTGGACCTCTGTGGAGCATTGATTTGCGTGTTTGCTCTGTGCTTTTGACTGTTAAAATTTGTTTGTTTTGTAATTAAACTATATTAGTTTAGTGTTTGAGCAACAAATATTATTACTCGCATCCATTTGAAAACTATCACAGAAACCGCGAATATTCAGCTCTTGTAAAAGAAGTGAAAAGTGGCGAACCGAAAGGCGTGGGTTCTACCAATACTAGAAAATAGAAGCAAAGCAAGAGATTAAGCGTGTCCTCCTGTATGTACATATGTGTGCGTGTGCGCCTTTAAGATTTTGGCTCATATGCCCAATTTTGTTTTTGATCCGATTGCCGCACAATAAATATTAAGCAAACAGAAAACGAAATTAATTGCAAATCGGATTCAAAAATGTGTGTTTAATGTGAATAAAAATGATAACGGTACACACACACGTACACAAACACTGCCAACAGCAAATCTCCGCCGACATCGCAGCCGCACCTACGTGCACACATATATTGAGATAGTGTGTGTGTGTATATATTATAGTGGGTGTTTATAGAGGTGTACGTAGGCAGCAAATGAAATCAAATAAAATACATGTAATGAGTGGCAGCATTTCAAGCGATAATTAAATAAAGAATTGTTTAAATAAATAATCAATTTGTACAAGGCAAATATCAATACACACGCAGAATCAACCAACCAGCCAACCAACATATGTACGTATGTACTCTCACACCTACATACACACACACACCACAAAAAAGGCATAGAGAGCTAGAGTGAGAGCGAGAGAGAGAGAGAGAGAAAGCACGGTGCCAAAAAGGAACGTCAAAAGGAAGAAGCAGCAGCAGCAGCACACAGCATCGGCGCGTTGCGGGAAGATTGAAAATAAACGTGTAGTAGAGAATTTTTGAAGCACACTCCACACACACATACACAGTCAACCAACTAACCGCCCACTGCCGCCGTTCTCCCCAGCGAACATACATACAGACAAACACTCACGCACACGCAGACATACATACAAACACAGAGACTCGTATGCGCGAAAAGAAGTGTAAGCCGTGCACAGTTGCTGGTGTTGTTGCTGCTGTTCCTGTTAGCCGCTGCTACTGCCGCTGCCGCTGCCGCCAAAGGACGACAGACGCGACGGCGACGGCGACGACAACGCCAACGACCACGACCACGACCACGTCGACAACGGCGCAGCAGAGGACGTGTTGTTGCTGCTGCTGTTGAGCCCAACGCAAATGGCAGACCCTCTGAGCGGGCCCTGCTTTTGAGACATGTCGTAATGGCCAGAGAGGTAAGTGAGATTTCTTGCGGGCTAAGCGAAATGCGAAATGCCAAATGTGGGTAGATGCCGGTCCACATACATAGTTATGCATTGCTTTTGAATTAAAATATTATACACGCGTACATACATACATACATACACACTGTTGTTTCCCTTACTTCTAACATAACACTGGACTGTAACAGTAACATTTCTCTCCACTACGAACCAATCGTGTCGATTTACAGTTGTTTCCCAATTCCGGCCTGTCTACTCTCCGCTCATTTGTTTTCAACTTAGTCGCTGAGCTGCGTTAGCTTTGGGGCTAAGCCCCCGTTAAGCATTTTATGTGTGTGTGCGTGTATATCAATGTACGCCTGTTTGTATGTGTGTGTATGCATGCTTTATGCAGTTTCTTCATCTCGTTTCGTWTTGCTTTGCTTTGCGGCTGAGTGAATAGCTTTGACCCAAATAACTGTAATACACCCTACTAGATGAGCACATGTAGCTTTTGTTAATGTACATAGTTTTTACGTTTACGTTACATATATTGTTATTGTTGATACTTATGCTCAATTTGATCTATGTGTTTAGTGATGTTGCATTTTTAGTGGCCAAATTCACAGTATTTTGCAGCGTTGTGGGCATGACCTATATGTTAATTACAGCGCTTTATAATATAAATATGATCAGCATGGGTAGCCGTCGAGTTGTTCATTTAAGACGTTTCTGTATTTATTTCTATATTTATGTATAAATTTGCCAATTAATTAATAAATTGCATTTAGTAAATAGTGCCTCCTTTGCTCCATTCATTTAAAAACACGCAGCTGTTAACATTTAGGGGTAAAATGTAAATGTGAGCTTTTCTTAGAGCTGGCAATGCTGTGCTGGAAGTATAAAAGAGAGTGTGTGAGGGAGAGAGAGAGARCTGCTACTGCATAAAGAATTGCAATGCCATTGCTCTCGGAACAGCAGCAACATTGGTGTTTTACTTTTTTATTTGTATAATAAAACTTTATATTGCATTAAAAAAACAGTAATTTACATGATTTTTTTTAGACATATGGGTTTAGTTGTTATTTTTCTTATACCTTTATAGCATACTTTTTAGCGCAAACTAGGAAAACGTTCTAATTTTGAACTGTTTGCTAAAGTTTGACAAATAAAACAGATTAAGTCAAAGGATTGATTCAAAATAAATGTTTACCCACTGCGCCGCTTTGCTTTAATCAACTGCTGCAAAGCGGAGCGAACCAAATGAAAATGAAAGCGAGCCAATTGCAAATCCTTGTGCAAGTTTTCAGCATGCTCACCCGGTCGCTCTCCCTCGCTATCTGACTGTGCACCTTTGTGTGTGCGTCTGTTTGTATGTGGGTATGCGTGTTTGTGCCTAATTGACAGAGCTTCTGGCATTTATGTATGTTTAGCTATGAGCCTCTGAATCCTGAATACTTGTGGAGCGTTCGTGTGTGCGCGCCCGTTTTGTTGGCTGTTAGCTGTGTTAGCTTTAGCGCGCCCTGATTATATCACATTGCGAATGTAGGCCAAAGCACAGATGTTACTACCAAAGGAGAGTGTGTGTAGGAAACAGAGAAAGAGAGAGAGAGAGAGCAAGCGTGCAATGCAACGCAATGCACAGTGCAGTTGAGCAGCTTCCGCTTTAACATTACAATTACTACAAAATACGCATTAACAGAGCGTACACACATGTATATACATATATATTTATATGCGCTCACGAGCTTTGCGCTCTCATTCTTCATTTATGCGCACAACCTACGCGTTCTCTCCCTGCATGCTGCAGCAGCAGTAGAAGCTTAACAGTAACAACTACTGTTAATAACAGAGGTAAGGAGTCAGCCAACAAGCAGGCATGCATGCATGCAGTCAGGCAGGTTCAGCAGTGTGTGCCAGGCAGCCAGCCACAGCCAGCAATGATGCTACTTTCGTTAACGAGCGCTTTACACAGGCTACGCGATTCCGCTGGCACATTGTTGAAATATTAAATTTTTAACTGGGTGTGACAACTGCAACAGTAGCACCACCACCAGCCGCAGCAGCAGCAAGAATAAAACGAAATTTTTTAATATTCAAATAAGAATTCCAATAAGAAACGAAACAAAAAGTTTGTGTTAAATCGAAAGAATGAAAAACTAAAAGTGTGCCACAAAACTGCAATCCAATCGAAGGCTCAGCGCACCTGGCCCCAGCCTCAGGCTCAGCCTCAGCCCCTTTGGCCTCTCCCTTTCTACGACCCCCACCAAATGAAAAGTCGGCGGTTTCAGGCTCACGCAAGTGTAGTAAAGTGAAAGTGCGAAGGTCAACTCAACTCTTCGACAGCTCTGCCCAGCTGCTGCTGCTGTGGCCCATAAAAGAAAAGAAGGAGAGAAAGAAAACTCGAAAACTAAAGCTAAAACTCGATTTCTTATTGAATATAACAATAATTCATAATTTAGTGTATTTTCTATTACAAACTGAATAACAATTTTTATATTGGTTTTTGTTTTTTGTAAGTGCGCAGAAATTTGTTAAAAAAAAAAAAATTTTGTAGCCTTACGCGACGAATTTTTCCCTAAATGGCATTTAAAGAACAACTACAATAAAACGCGTTCAACTTAGAAATAAGCTTATAAGCATTTATAAAGTTTTATAAACATAATTTTCTATCAAACACAAACAAAATAATAATGTGTGTGTGCATTTTATATAACAATTTTTAAGACAACAAGAAAAAGCAAGGAAAAGGGAAAACCAAAGCTATATATTTAACATAACCAAAGCCAAAACTGAAGAGAGAAATGTTAATTTGTGTTAATGTTATTGTTGTCACTTAATCGGATTGTATCCAATTGGACAGAGGAGTAATCAGAATTAGCATTAAAGTGGCTGGCAAAGGTGAAGCGAGCATTTGTAACGCCACCATGTGGTCCAATGCTCTGTGCACACTGGGCGTGACAAAGCCTTTGTGCAACTGTTTGAGCATCAGGCAAGTGGCAGCAGCAGCAGCCGCGGCGGCGGCTGCCAATCAGAATGCTGGTGCAGCCATTACAACGGGACCGACGGCGGCGACAAATGCTGCAGCATCAGCATCAGCAGGGGTAAACCAAAGATAATAACTAATTACCGTTTAAAGCATATCCATCAATCAGCAACAGAACCCACCCCCAAAGCGCCCCCTCTGCAATAGTGGCAGCAACAGCAGCAGCAACAGCAGCTGATGGCCATATGGCAGCAGACTTGACCTATCCCAATGCAGCACACATACAACTCTATTTCTCTCTCCCGCTCTCTCTGATTACAGTTTCCCTACGAACTGCAATTTCAATTGCAATTGCAATTCCAACTTGACTGCCAACTCCAATTTGACAAAAGCAAACTTTTCGCGCAAATGTCCAATAAGC